CGGCAGGAGATCCAGTTGAGCCCAGGAATTTGAGGGGATGTGGCCACTTCTGGTGGCGGAGGTAGAAGGAGGAAGGAGGATTTCTCTGCCTACTCCTCCCTCACCCTTGCCTTCATTCCTCCACCCGTGTCTCCCATTGGCCGAGAGCCAGCTGGCAGGGGGACCTAGGAAACAGCTTGCAGAACAAGGGTGGGGCTGTGTCTGGCACAGCTGGCAACAAGTTGAAGGTGTCCATACCCTCTGTCCCTGCTGGGGCGTGAGCTCAGGACGTGAAGGTCAGGGAAATACCTGAGGTTTGAAGTGACTCAAACCCTTGAGTGCCTGCAGTTGCAGCTGTGTCAGGTCCTGTCTGCGAGTGGGCAGGGAATGGGCACCTGTAGGAGTGTGTTAGTGAGGGGGATTCAAGGGAGGCAACTTTGTTTCCCAGATTATATTTTTTGCTAAAACTATATCTGAAATGATAGAACTTGAAAATGATAGAACTTGCATTGTTTTCCTTGTTGTGAAAGCAATTACATATTCCTTATCAAATAATGAAAAGTACAGAAATAGGAAAGAGAAGGGGGTGTAAAATAGTCTGAGCCCAGACTCTGATCAGACAGCTCAATGGTTGCGCGGTGTGCGGCCCTCGGCCTCCTGGAACACTGGCGCTCTGTGGGGGCACCAGCACCAGCCGTACAGGCCTGGTCCATAGTAGGTGCTCAGTTAATTATCTCTGGCATGTCATTGATGCCTACAACCCTTCTTCTAGGCATCACCACTTTCTCTTCCTCCTCCAGGCATTTTTTTCTATCTATTGCTATAATTTGTTTTTTTTTTTTTGAGATGGAGTTTCGCTTTTGTTGCCCAGGCTGGAGTGCAATGGCGTGATCTTGGCTCACTGCAACCTCTGCCTCCCAGGTTCAAGCGATTCTCCTGCTTTAGCCTTCCACGTAGCTGGGATTACAGGCATGTGCCACCACACCTGGCTAATTTTTTTGTATTTTTAGTAGAGATGAGGTTTCACCATGTTGGCCAGGCTAGTTTGTATCTCCTGACCTCAGGTGATCCACCCGCCTCAACCTTGCAAAGTGCTGGGATTATGGGCATGAGCCACTGCGCCCAGCCTATTACTATAATTTTTAAACAGTTTTGTTGAAATATAGGCTGGGCACAGTGGCTTACACTTATAATCCCAATATTTTGGAAGGCTGAAGTGGGAGGATTGTTTGAGTCAATGAGGGGGAAGTTCAAGACCAGCCTGGGCAGCAGAGTGAGACTCTGTCTCAAAAAAATATTTTGTTTTTGAGACAGGGTCTTACTCTGCTGCCCAGGCTGGAGTGCAGTGGTGTGACCAATTAGCTGGGTGTCGTGGCATGTTCCTATGGTCCCAGCTACTCGGGAGGCTGAGGTGGGAGGATCGCCTGAGCCCAGGAGTTCAAGGCTGCAGTGAGCTATGATGGTGCCAGTGCAGTCCAGCTTGGGCAACCCTGTCTCTACAAAAAGAAAAAGAAAAGATATAATTCACGTAGCATTTAAACTGGACAATTGAGTGGCTTTTGGTATATTCACAAAATTGTGTATCTATTATCACAATCAATTTTGGAGCATTTTTATCATCCCAAAAAGAAACCCCTGGTCCGGCATGGTGGCTCATACCTGTAATCTCAGTGCTTTGGAAGGCCCAGGTGGAGGAAAATTTCTTGAGCCCAGAAATTCAAGACCAGCCTGGGCAGCATAGTGAGACCCCCATCTCTGCAAAAAATTAAAAAGTTAGCTGGGTATGGTGGCGCACACCTGTAGGCCCAGCTACTCAGGAGGCTGAGGCAGTAGGATTCCTTGAGCCCAGAAGGTCAAGACTACAGTGAGCCATGGTTGAGCCACTGCATTCCAGCCTCTGCAACAGAGTGAGACGGTGTCTCAACAACAACAAAGAAACACCAGCAAAGAAACCCCATGTACTTTGGCCATTCCCTTCACATCCCTTCATTTCCCCCAGCTCTAGGTAACCACAAATCTATTTTCTCTACATCTGGATTTGCCTATCCTGGACGTTTCTAGAAATGGGATCACAGAATATGTGGCCTTTTGTGACTGCCTCCCTTCACATAGCAGGATGTTTCCAAGGTTTATCCGTGTTGCCGCGTGTATCACTGTTTTGTTTCTGTTGTATAGATGGACCACATTTTGTTTATTTGTTCATCAGTTGGTAGATATTTGGGTTGCTTCCATTTTTTGGCTCCTATGAATAATGCTGCTATGAACATTCATTACAGGTTTTTGTGTGGACATTTGTTTTCATTTCTCTTGGGTATATACCTAGGCGTGAAACTGCAGGGTCACATGATAACTCCATGTTTAACTTTTTTTTAAGACAGAGTCTCGCTCTGTCGCCCTGGCTGGCGTGCGGTGGCGCAATCTGGGCTCACCACAACCTCCACCTCCCAGGTTCAAACCATTCTCCCGCCTCAGCCTAAGTAGCTGGGATGACAGGCATGCGCCACCACACCTGGCTAATTTTTGTTTTTTGTTTTTTGTTTTTTTTTTTTTTGAGACGGAGTCTCGCTCTGTCACCCAGGCTGGAGTGCAGTGGCGCGATCTTGGCTCACTG